GAGAGAGAGAGAGAGAGAGAGAGAGAGAGAGAGAGAGAGAGAGAGAGAGAGAGAGAGAGAGATGGAGCAAAAAAGACATACCTTGCGACTAAGTATTAGCGACACTGGCCACTCCACCTTGTAGTCGAACGAGAATGCCTCAAGACCAGTCAGGTGCAGATCTTCCTTCTCCTTCTTGTATGCTAAGAAATCACACAAAGGATGTCATCACTTCCACTCACGATGCAAACCAGAGAAGTAAACACACGGTCCATGCGCAATGTGTAGACACAGAGAAAACTGTGTTTTCTAAGACCAGCACGCCAGAACAATGTACGGAGTTACTCATGGGGCTGTACCTGACTCCTCACATCTAGTATCAACATGATCAAAGAACAACAACCATAAAGCCATAAACACTTTATACTCCCCCCACCCAAAGATGCACTGGTATGCCCGACGTGACAAAAAATTACACTACCGTACATGAGAAAATGTCATCACACTCTCTCCACAACTTCTCCTCGGTGGTCACTGCCATGCATGACCAGTGAATCATAACTACAGTGGAAAAATATTGCAGCGACTAGCCGCGAGACTGAACTTTTATATTGTAAACATCATTTCCTTCAGATAGACATCAACTTATAGATTAAATAACTGGCGCTAAACTTAGCTAAACTTACGATTTGTTATACTTTCATAAACATTCCCCAGACTTCAACCTGCCTGGAATGCAGGGTTTCTGCCAGGAGGGTAAAACAGTAAAAGGATAAAATTCCATACCCAAATATATTTCTAGGGTATGAATCCAAACCCAAAATTATGAGTTTTTTTTACAATATTGGAAGTGTCAATGCCGGTTACATTAGAAACTAGAGCACTTGGAGAGCGCAGACCTCCGCCAAGGCAGCTCAATTCTCTCACTGTGAGAAATTTAATTATTAATTAATTAAATAATTAATTGCATCGGGATCACCACCAAAATGTCATGAATTCTAAGTTACCCCATTTCTGACGTATCCTGAAAATTTAATTAATTAATTAATTAATTGGATCCGGATCACCACCAAAATGTAATCAATTCTAAGTTACACCATTTCTGACGTATCCTGAAAATTTAATTAATTAATTAATTAATTGGATCCGGATCACCACCAAAATCTAATCAATTCTAAGTTAGCCCATTTCTGAGCTATCCTGAAAATTTTATGACAATCCGTCCATAACTTTTTCAGTTAGGCTGTACACAAACAAAGAAACGCACAAACCCATAAACCAACAAACGTCGGTGAAAACATAACCTCCTGCCAACCCCTTGGCGGAGATAAAAACAAGTTAACATACATCTCTTTAGTAGTACAACGATTTTGAAGACTTTTTTGGTCCTTACCCAAAAAATATTTTCTGGCGGAAACCCTGGGATGCATGCATTAGTGCTAGGTAAGCACATCACATCACATACCTTTAATTGTCATTATAATTTGTTATTATTAACCCCTGTGGTTAGGTAATTATGTTCACATACCTTTCTCCTGCTCCGTCTCAATACTGATGACCCGGAAGAGCATCGTGATGAGGTCATAGGGAAGCAGCTCAACTCTGAAACAGATAAATGCACAGCGTTGCTGCATGCTGCACTCATGTACACCAAAGTAAAGGTTCTCTATCTCTATTATACATTAAATAGAATTCCTCCATGGTGCACTAATGTTAATAATAACTAAGTTGTAATGCTTAGTTACTCACTTTGCAACTAACTTAATCCTAAGATTTAACTAAATCCAAAACTCATTAGAATTGATTCAAATCAAGTCCCTTTGATTTCTTTTATAGGCACCTATTAGTATTAGCCATAAAAACTCCTCTTGTAAGATGCCATAACAATTATATGGTAACTACTACTTTGTTTGCATGTTTTTTTTTACTTAACTTTCCTCTGTTTTTACGTGTTTTCCCTAATTTGTAGAATACAATAAGATCTTTCTCTTTTCGCAAAATTAAACACCACACAACCTGGTATAAGGACTGATTTTTGGGCGATTATTTTCACTTGGCTTTACCACAGAATTTAACGGTCTTTCGCTAATGCTCTCACGAAAAAAACATTTTCTTGATTACCAGGTGAGAGTCCTCCTGGCTGACCCCCCAACTCTACCGACCAAAGAAAAAAACATGATTTTCTTGATTACCAGGTGAGAGTCCTCCTGGCTGACCCCCCCAACTCTACCGACCAAAGAAAAAATAAGAGGATATTTTACACACACCATGACCTTGACGCTGGGAGATGGTAGTAGCAGAGGTGAATAATGACAAACGTTGGTCGTTATTCACCTCTGGTAGTAGCTAGTCATCGTGGTGACAATATCACCTGAGGTCAACCTTGACGCATTGGTGACGGGAGTGATTATGCATCACGGTGACAATCATACCTGGGGTCATCGTTGATGCATTGGAGACAGAAGTGATTATGCATCATGGTGACAATCATACCTGAGGTCATCCTTGATGCGTTTATGACAGGAGTAGTTATGCATCATGGTGACAATCTCACCTGAGGTCATCCTTGTAAGGGTCAACGTTAGCGACACTTGTCCTGACAGCAAGTTCAAGTAACGACTCCAGCCGAGTCGGCGTCACATGTGGAGGACAGGTGGTTAAGGAAAAAAATAATATAATAAAAAATAAAATAAAAAATTAAAGGGACAGTAGCCTCTAGGATTTTACTGCATACAACTGTACTTACTGTATAACAAATCGTCTATACCCACATGTATTTGTCACCAGATACTTAATTAATTATTTACACATCAACGCTACGAAATTTGAACGGCGCCATGACACCCGCGACCGTGCTGCCACCCTGAAAAAGTTGCGTATTTGCATTTTTATTTTGCAGGTAAATGACCGAGGGCTAATCACAAAAGTGCAATTATATTTATACCTAAATGCTATTTAACCGAACGATATTCATTTTAGGGCAAATTTATCCATATTATAACTGAAACTATATGTCGTTTATAAGATATTACAATCCTTTTGCTTTTAAATGAATAAATAAGAAATACCCTCGGTCTGTAGCCCTTGGCTGGAAAGTGGTTTTGCGCAACTTCTCAGATCGTGCGCTTTGAGTGGCGCCACCGTCGTTGTAATCAAACTGTAGTCGTTAGTTTTAAAACATTTTTAAAAAATATTTCTAATGGTGATTGAACCATTAAACTTTTTATGTAGCGCAATTATAACCTAAATTAGCTGAAAATAACCCTAGAACCTAGAGGCTACTGTTCCTTTAATTAAATTAATAAATATTAACATGGGGTTAAAGAGCCAGCAACGATGGCGCGCGCATCGTTATAGTTTAACGAAGAACCGATACCCGCAACCACACTACGACATGAGTAAAGCTCTTATGAAATACAGCAAACGTGGGTAAAACCCGTAGCTTTTGTGTGTGTATGGGGGGGGGGGTCCCCCATCAACCACTACTCTAGCATGTCAAGAGGCACCACGCAAGAGAGAAGGGTTTGCAAAAAGGATATCATATATGTTTTTGGTGAGTTCCAATTCTGCCATGTCCATGAACTGGACCATGAAGTCTGCTTGATCCATAAAAAAGTAATGCTTCACGGACCTGTAGTAGTGCACAAACACATGTTAAAGTCTAGTAGTAGTAGCAGTAGCAGCAGCAGCAGCAGCAGCAGCAGCAGCAGCAGCAGCAGTAGTAGTGTACAAACACATCCTAAATGAAAGTGTCAATGACACTGTAGCTCACCACAAAAAGAACACAAATGAGTGAGTGAGAAGAAGTCAGTTTTAATTGAGCAACCATCGACGTGGTACATTATAGAAACGAAGAGTATATATGGGAGAACTCCCATTATATACTCTTGATAATTATGTTTAATTTTTTATGTGAAAATAAATGTTTGAGATGGGAAAGTCTGAGATGTGGGCGAGTGATGGCGTTACACCTAATTGATCGCCATTTAACGTTTTTATAATATTCAGATTTAGGCACTGCCTAAAAGCGGAGCTCCCGGTGTGTAACGTGTAAGATTGAGAGGATACGCTTATTACACGTAGCTGCTATATATACCACGTGACAATGGTGTTTCCCTGCCCATAACACAACTTTTGTCAAAGGTTAATTGGTTGCATGGAAGTGTTTACTTCGTAAGAGTTTTTCTAGGCGGTAGCACACGGTTGCCATCTGTATATCGCAATAATAATTTATAAACCAAAATGAATCACAATTTGTGACAGTAGATGGCGCTATACTTGCTTTGATGTCTCTTAGGTAGTGCGACTCTGCCGAGTATACACCATAGATACTGTTTGGGATACCATTGATAGTATATAAGATAGATGAGTCGGTTTAGAGTTAGTATTAGGGTTAGGGTTAGGGTTAGGGTTTTTGCATCATTCTTTGATATACGGAAAGCCTGATGCGGAAGTTGATATGCGTAGTATGGAATATGACCATGCGCAACCCAAGTACATAGAGTATGTACCACCTGATAAATATATGCCCACCTGAGTACATACTCAGCTCATATTCATACTCGGCAGACTGAGAGTGTTACACGAACATATGCTACCTGTTTCTTAGCGATGGCGTTCGAAATAAATAGGTTATGCTGCGTTCCGACATGTTTTGTAAAACTTTACTCTAATATAGACGTTTTATCGGCAGGGTGGAGAGGAAATACCAATTTTGCATTAAAGATATTGTCAATGAAATCTTGTAAAACGAACCAGACGAGTGTGACGCCAGAGACTGTTATCTGCATGTCTATATAATATGATATATAATTGGCAATGTCAAGGTGAGCTAAAAACTAGTAGTAGCTCATCTTTTCTCCTTCTGGCTCCTTATACAGCACATCAGCCCTCTGTTACTGCATTCCTTTGCTTTCTGTTATGAGGCTGCCATTTTCACGAGGGTGATGTAGTTAGGCTTACTGTATCACATATCTTGCTTATCTTATATATACATCTTACATCTTAATCTAATATTTTATCTTGCTGTATTTAATTTTACTACCTTTAATTACTACCTACCTTACGCTTTTATTATATTTTTATTACCTAAGCCTGCCGATGAGATCCTTATCTTGTATGAGAAGATCTAGCAGCATTTTGCTAGCAAAGTTGTATGCCTTCTCTATCTGCACTGTATACTCTCTCTCCTGCATCGTGTAGACAATTTCCTGCGCTCCTGGAAACTTCACGTCCTGACCTACAAAAAGCCAATGTAGATGAAACCAATTATGTATAAAAACAACGTACATTATTGTTAAAAATATCTGAGTGTCTATCATCTCACACGTGCTGACTGAGGTGTGTGGAATATATGGATTCAGCTTGTCTTTCAGTAAATTGCACAAATACACATATAATGTGCAAAATGAGCTTGTGAGTCGCTAAATGTACAATAGCAGTAATGAATGCTGACATATTACCCACTCACTCAACAATGCACAGCACCTATCACACTTACCACACTATAACCTACTTACCACACTGTACCCTACCTACCACACTGCACCCTACCTACCACACTGTACCCTACCTACCACACTGTACCCTACCTACTAGACTCCACCCTGCCTACCACACTGCACCCTGCCTACCACACTGCACCCTGCCTACCACACTGTACCCTACCTACCACACTGTACCCTACCTACCACACTGTACCCTACCTACTAGACTCCACCCTGCCTACACACTGCACCCTGCTACCACATGTACCCTACCTACCACACTGTACCCTACCTACCACACTCCACCCTGCCTACCACACTGCACCCTACCTACCACACTACATCCTACCTACCACACTGCACCCTGCCTACCACACTTCACCCTACCTCAGCGTGAGAAACTAGCGGTCGCCAGTCGTTAGTGAGCGATTAGAAAATCGACCGGGCGACTGCTTGCTCGTGTCAGCTGTCCGGCAGGGCGACTAGATAATCGCCGCACAGGAAATAAAAAATTTTACCAAACTAAGGCCATAATAAAAATGTTTTCTGTTTTGCCCTCACCTGACCGACCGCCAAAAACGGGCCGACACAAACATTTTTATTGACCTTTCCGATTATTTTTTTTAAGTTTCTGTATGTGGCAGAGCGTGCGGCAACTGTACGCGGGCTATAGTACTAGAGCTATGCACAGCCTGCGTACGTGCCTGCTGGCTGGGCGGCACTGATTGAAGTAGGGGGAGGGGCGAGTGCATTATTGATGGTCCTGGAATCGCTGGATTCCAAAACTTGGACAGCAAAACTTTCCTGCAAATCCTAGAAATCGCTATATTATAATTTAGTATTAAATTAACTTAATTATGGATCTAACTCTGACAGATTAACTTTATTTTCCTTTCCAAAGACTAATATGTGCTAAGAAATATTTATTATTTCTTAATTCAAGTTCCTTTTATTTTTAATGCTTTTATTTTCCAGATACGTGTATGTTGTGCGTGGCGGTGCGTGCGTGCGTGGTGAGATCTGGAAATAAAATCATGCACAATTGACTTTTGATGAACACAAGTTGTTAAAAGTATTTGATATGTATATTGTATCACTGTACAATGTACCATTAATATAAATCTGTAGGCAAACATAAAAGGTATCTCCACACAAGACACCTGAGACAGTAGACACATTGCTGAATTTGTAAAAGACCCCCCCTCAAAAAAAAAGCCGACACACTTTTCAGCTTGGGTCGGGTGAGGGCAAACAAAAAAATTGTTTAATTGTGGCCTGATTATTTTGTTATTCTCTACTAACTTCTACATTATTCTAATGAAAATCAATGGTAAATTTAATCAAATATAGACTAAAAATAGTCAAATTCCGAAGCTAAAGTCCATGCGAAGTAACACAAACTCTCCATGTTAGTTGTTGTTCGATTTTCTAGGTCATGCTGTTAAACCTCTGCTAATTCGATAATACTGGGCATCACCACAATCAGCGATCGCGTGTAATAAAATATGATAATTTATAGAATAATGGCGGTCTTTCAGAGACCGATGATCTTGAAATTGACTTGCGGACTTGTTCCGATTACTACACATCAAGCTAGTGTATCGAAACGAGTAAAAAATATAATTTGCAAGAATACCTTAGAATGCACATCACCAAATTGCACACATCCCCCCCCCCCTAAAAAAAGTCCCCACATCCGAGTCATTCACTTTGCTTATGACAGAAATCCTGGACCAGTGCCTTACTGACCAGGACCAGTACTTCCTCAGGGTCACTGGTCCTGCTGACCAGTGCCTCCAATTATCAGTTTTCAACCTGCTACCTACTAGACTGTACCCTACTACCACACTGCACCCTTCCTACTAGAACTACACCCTACCTACTAGACTGCACCCTACCTACCACACTGCCACCCTTCCTACTAGACCACACCCTACCTACTAGACTGCACCCTACCTACCACACTGCACGCCACCTACCACATTGTCTGACGACGTTCAGGTATTTTCCGGTGTTCAGCAATTTGTCGATGACGCGTTCGAGAAAGACGGGCACGCGTTCGCGACATATCGTGTAGCGCTGCTCCCAGTACGCATCGTTGTAGTCCTCCTGAAGCTTCTCTCTCTGCACGGACTCGTGCTCCTCCACGGCAAACTAGGTGGCAGAGATACAACTCAAGTCACCCGCAAACAAAACCACAGACAAGCAGGTACCATGAGTCACACGAAATTCTCCCCACCGCCACCTTGCTTTCCTCATTCCTTCGCTGCAAATCTCATCGATGCCAATGAGGAACCACAAGTCATACAAAATGCTTTCCCAGTCATGCATCCCCTTATCATCCACCACAAACTTCTGATTTCGACTAGCTTAGTGTCAAAGGAACAAGAATCAAACATTTCCTGGACGACTTCGTTTCGAGTGAGCTCATCTGGATTTATAACATGTAGTATTACCTCGTCATATGGGTCTCTTATTACGCCTTTGTAGATCCACTTCTCCAACATGTCAAAGTATGGAACACACGCCTGCAAAGTGTTAAGACGAGTGAAGATTTTTCAATCTATACACTATATCAGGAGTAGATAATATATATATATATATATAAAATCTTTTTTGCATGCGATTCAAACACAAATACATTTACTGAAGACAGTCTTTTTCAGGAGAAGAAAAAATCTGATAGATGCAATAGTGTTGAGCAGTTAAAATAAAATTTCTCATACATAATTTAGTTGATAATAATTTGGTAATCACTCAGTAAATCAAATCTCACAGAGTGCACAGTATTTTGCAATGAAACTCAGTGATACAATTTCTACCTCTCACCGTTTACACGATAGTGCAGCACTCATAATACATGTGCTACGTTAAGATTTGAGATAGATGCAGTAACATGGTATGCAAGTGTTACGTTAAGAATCATAGTAATCATAGTAAAGATGAACTGTGAATTATAATTAAGTTCATAATAACGTGGTTGAAACACACTAACTTACCGACTGAGCGAGAAAGGTGCAAAGCTCCTGGGTTCGAGGATCCCTAAAGTAAACAGCAATAAGATGATTATAAACTAAAATGACAGCCTTTTTTAATGTTTAAGCTAGGTGTAGATATGTAAGCTTGATATTTATATATACCTATATATATACCTATAGGTATTTATATACAATATGCACATGTGAACCACACAGTTGAGCCTAGATTATCCAACCTAAATTGGGGCGTAGCTATAGGTGGTCAGATAATTAGAAGACAGACAAAAATACTGGATTACATGAAAACAGAGGGTGAGGATGGGGTGAAACAAATTGTTTCTCAAATGATAAAATAATATAATAAATGAACACAATCAAAGTATTACAGAACAAAGATATATGACCAGCATCATTAAATACAGACAAGCAAATGAAGTTACATCAACGGCAGCATGCGACACACTGCGAGACAAAAGCAGAAAGGAACTGGGCAAAATAGTATGCATGTGTGTAAAATACAACACTTTACAACACACATATAGAATGTGGATTGACTCTCGGATAATATGGAATGTTGGATAACCGAAGGTCGGTTAGTATAGCTAAAGGGGTCGTTGTCGTATATGTAGTACCCGAGGTGTCGGCGAGTATGTCGCCTACGCCTACTCCCTAACCCTAACCCTAACACCCTAACCTAACCCTAACCATATCAGATAGTTACCTCGGGTACATATTATCTGCCATTATATGACAACGACCCTTCGTGCGTTAGTATACAATAGTCCATCTACACTAAACATTCATAAAACATGCACGTGGATACCTGATTGCAATGTATACTCACTGTTCTGATACTAACCAAGGCATAAAACAAGACCAGACAATACAAAATTCGATGTCCATAAAAACTCGAATGTTCACGTAATAATTCTACAATAACTAGTGCACTTTCACTTGATAGTAATCACTAGAACCTCACAACGCAAAACACACACCTGCCGCACTTTCTATTTCAACTATTTATTGGAACGAAATTAGATGTGTTTACCCGGTCGTTCCAACTGTTCTTTCATGAAGGAGACTGAGGACTGCTCCACCTTTACATTGACCCTAAAACGATAAAGACAGATAACTCAGAACTTGTCATGCCCTGCTAAAACAGAATGAAATCACTGCAGACAGTATGCACAAATTTTCGCCCATCATTGCAAACGTTACAGAAATAAAATGGACAGGAAATTTTGCAGCGAAATCTGCTCACATCATCGCAATCTTGTATCTCTATAGCTTCAGCTGTAATAAATCCTTATTACAGTACACAGAATAGTTGAGCCAACTTAGCAATGTTCACGTTCCATCAGCAGACACCTGGGCTAACAAAATTCTACTCTAGTTGTTGTTTTTTTTAACCCATGAAAACTATTTATTAAACCTGTTCAACTTGCCTTGTTGATTGCCGTCGCAATGCAGGCCATGACCTCCATGACCTCTGAGGCAGGCTGCACGAAGAACCACAGCTTGTGGAGAGTGAGATCGCCCTATAATAAACGTAAAGTAAAAAAGAGGAGACTAACTATGAAAACAACCAATGGGTTTACTAATAGTGCATAGTATAAAATTAAGTAAACGTAAAGTAAGTAATTAGTAATTGTAAAACACTGGAAAAACGGGTTTCTCCAACTACATGCAACTGGGAATCTTGCAGCTACTAATTTTACATAGGTAGATATACTGGCACAAAAAAGGGCTTGCAGAATTCAATGTTCCGGCGCCCACCGACACCGACACACACATGCACGCACACACGTACGCACACACGCACACGCACACGCACAGGCACCGCAAACGGCACGACACACACACACCCCCTACATGCACATGCAAGCACACATACCACTTGGCTAGCTGCCATACTTGCAGACTGTCATGGATTTTACACAAGATGATATCAAATTATGATAGCACTGAGAGTTTTCCATGGTCTTTGTCTAGAAATACCAATGACGAATGTATAGTCCCAAAATGTACTCGAGTAATGCTATACACTGTACTTCTCGTCAGGACAGATGAAACAAGTAGTTACTGTAGCATAACTCATGTATGCCTAACGCTTACTTCTTACATACCACTGTATGCTATTGTAGTTATGTACATACATGGCCATGTATGCTATTGGTTAGTTATGTAATACCTATATATGCTATGTTAGTTATGCCACATACTGTCTGCTATTGTATAATACATATATGCTAACGTAGTTATGTACATCATGTATGCTATTGTTAGTTTGTTACATACATGTATCTATTGTTAATACATGCATGTTAATTTGTTAGTTGTGCTGAGAAGGTCTATGTCAGCTCCAGGGTACTGCCGGAACGTCCTGTACTATCTAAAATGCCGGACCGTAACCTCTGCCTACTCCATCTAACGTGAGTCTAGGGAGCTCGGGCCTACTCGCCTAACTCCGCTAACCTAACCATATAAAAAGTTACCAGGCGTACGTTCCGCAGTCCCCCTGGGACATAGACCTATGACGTTAGTTATGTACATTACATATGATGGCTATGTTAGTTATGTACATACATTGTATGCTATTGTTAGTTATTACATATATGTATGCATAATGGTTAGTTATGTACATAATGTATGCTAATGTAGTTAAGACATACATGTATGATATTAGGGGGGGGGGGGGGGGGGGGGGGGGGGGGGGGGGGGGGGGGGGGTGTTAGTTAGTGTACACTAACATAGATGCTATTGTTTAGTTTGTACAGTACATGTATCTTATCATCGTAGTCATATAGTAATAAATGTATGCTATTGTTAGTTTGTATAATCACATGTATGCCCTATTGTAGTTATGTACATACATATATGCTATTGTTTAGTTATGTAATACTTGTATGCTATTGTTAGTCTATTAGCATATATGTATGCCTATTGTTAGTTTATGAACATCCATGTATCTATTTTGTTATGCACCATACTGTACTGCTATTGTTAGTTATG